CCCTCAATTCACCTTGTTGGTTGTCCAAAGACAAAATTTTAATTTCCAGTCTCTCTTCTTTGCCATCAATTCCACTGTATGCACTTTACCTTTGATTTTACATAATGAGCCAATTTTAGATTAGAATCAATGTAACTCATTTAAAAATTCCTCCAGAATGAGGAATGCCATTCACAGGAGGTCTTCTCCACACAGGAAAAGTGAAATCTCTTTAGCAGAATCCAAAATCCCACGGAGTTGTATGCTTCTGTGCCCACAAATCTTAGCAACAGCAAACCACAAGGAACTCTTCTAAGTGTAAAATAAGTTTCTGATACTTGACAGTGTTCCTTCCAAAATAAAGCATGCTTCTGTGCATTCATATCATAAAGTCTGAATACCTGATCCATAAACAGATCAACCTTACAAATTGTACATGTATATCATCATCTTATTCACTATTAAAATAAGCAGTACTACCTACAAAATAAAGTCCTACCCGTTTGTTTTGTTTTTTTTTTTTTTAATACAAGAATCCCACCCACAAATAAGAAATTCTGTTACAAGCTGGACGGCTCATAGAATCCACAGAGCACTGCAAAGAGATGCAGCAGCAAAATAACCTTGGCACAGTGTGACTCTCAGCCAGCATTTGTACGCCGCGTTAAACATTTAGTGATACGGTATTTAATAAAATTCCTCATTTTATTTAACCATAAGTACTTGTGTCATGAGCTAGACACCTGCTGCCACTGCAAAATTATTGTGAAGAGAAAGCTCAACTTTACTGATACTTTAGAAATCAGATCAGCAGTTGAACCAATGTTACATCAAGGCCATCAGAGTGGTTCCAAAGAACGTTTATCAATATGGTGATGGGCGCTTTATACATATAAATATATATATATATATACACACACTCCCAGCTAAACTCTCATGAAGAGTGAATACTCATAACTTCTTAGTCTTCAAGCATGCAATGACGGTTTAGAGGGACTGAGAACCTTGTGATAAAATACTGAAGGTTATAAACGGCAGAAGGCTTTCTGCTGAAATCCCACACTGAGATCTAGATCAGATCTAGAATTTCACCTCCCCATTACACAAGAGAGAAACTCGGATCCAGCTCTGGACTTTGATGACAGGTTTTCTCCTTAAACCAACACTACACAAACAAAGGGCAGAAAAGACAGCAGTTATTGTGCTCAGGGACGACTGCTGCTTAAGGCTGACCTAGCAGTTCCAACAGAGAAACTATGCAAACCACAAAAGCTTCATGCTTTTGTCTTTAAAAAAAGAGAAGAAAAAACCCTACTGGCGTGGGGGATAACCGTCAGCAAGAGGGGAAGGAGCACTTTCCTACTACAGCAGTTGTAGTAAATATGGGCAAATGAGCAGGTGAATGAACTCCTGGCAGTGAAAATCTCTACTGGGGTCCCAACTCCAGAGTATGTTGCTCTCGTATTTCAGAGGATGGCTGTTGTCTCCACAGCTTTGTGCACAGCCCACTAATCCCACGGTATGTGACCTCTTCAGGTTGTGTCTCTTCACCTCAATATAACCTTTATTTGCAGTTAGCCAACAGCTGGTACTCCCTTCCTTCAGTATTTACAGAGCACACCCCATTACTGCCCCGGAATGAAACAGTGCAAGGCTCCATACCAAAGCACTTGCAACAACTTGCAGTAGCACAACACACATCACACAAGATTCACCTTTACAGTGCTGTGCTCCTTTCACACCCATTTACTCCTCATATCGAATATTTACACAAATACACAAATATTTTTCTTGCTAAATTTTACCAAGGAAGACTCCCTTTAGGATTCCCTGTTGTTTTCCTTCGCATGCTGGTTAAGAAATCGGAACAAAAAAAAAACAAACACAGCCTGTGTCTCCAAACTAATTGCTACACAATTTGTGACAAGAAATAAACAGTATATGTACATAGATAGAAGTGTGTGCGTGCATGTATCAAAAATGTAACTGACCCAGGACATACATGCATACACACACATCCTGGATGCTTTTCTGGCTCCAGATTGACTTTCTGCAACACTGTGTCTCAGTATCTTTGGGTTTGGATTATGGTAGCTCATCCTGTAAAGGTTTTTAGTGATTATTTCCAGCACCCAGCCCTCACGTCAGCCAAGGTGCCACTTAAGAGCCAGCAGAGGCCACCACAGGCTCCAGGGGCTCCTGCCAGGGCAACCAGCAGGGCCAGTTGCCTCCTGGCAAGGAGAGTGGTCCCGGCCCCACATTTGCCAGCCCGGGGCTGGAGCTGCCTGGCAGAGCCAGCATTATCAGCTGCGCTGAAACAATAGTTAATGCATTTTTAAACACTTATTTCTGATGATTCAATCTAAACCCCAAGAGCTATTACTATTAAAAGACTCCAGGGCTCAGACTTCTTCCCCTCCTTTCCCCCTCTCATTTCTTACAATTATTTTTTCCAACTTTATCTAAATTACTGATGGCTCAATTATTTTCACTCCATTTAAACAGAAATATAATTGACCATCTGCCTTCAAATAGAACTCAAACTGCCTTTGACCTCCAGCTTGCACAGAAAAAAACTTACAGTTCTATCACAGGAGGATAAAATCCCCCAACTAACATGACAGTAAAGCAGACTGCAGTGGGAAAACAATCTAGTAGCCTTACAATTCAATTATTATGAAAAATAATGATTAGTTAAATCCCTGATAATATCCTTACCTTAAAAAAGAAAACTTTACCTGCTTCAGCATCATCACCTCTTGAACCATCTCTTCACTAGATCAGCTTTATGAAAAGGACATGTGGCAGAAACTTCTAGAAATTCAAATTCCAGTAACATATAGTATTTTATTAATGGTATTATTCCATCTGTAACAAAGTATCTGAAATCTAAAAATAGTCCAAGACTACAAGATCCTTCATTTATAATTAAAAAATAAACGCTGAAAGCCTGTATTCAAATTAACAAATTGAATTCAAGTACAATATCGGTCAAGCCCACTCCAACACAACACAAGTGACTGGAGATTACGGTTACCCTTTTTTTTCTCCACAAAAAGCACACAGCTAATAAGAGTCAGTGTATAAAAGCCCTTTTACAAAACCTTTCACAATCAAAAAATCACATTTAACATTCCTAGAGTCACTGCACAGAAGTGCCTTCCTTCCCCTCTCATACAGCCAAACCCCTTTCTCAGCAGCAGGTGTGTAGCAGCCACAGGAGTAGCTCGCGCAGAAACGTCACCGTGCCAGTTGGATCCATGGACAGCAGCAATTCATGCCACATTACTTCAAAAAGACCATGTTAGCGTACCATTATCTCCACACATACTTAAAATACATACCACTCTGGACACATTAAAAAAAACAACAAACAAACACAAAACAGAACACCACCCCTCCAAACAAAATCCTACCTGTATTTAGACAGACACTTACTAACAAGCAAAGGCACTACTTTAGCAGGAGACTCCTACAAACTTCAGTAAAGCGAGGGCTCACCTACTACCAAGTTTAAGGACAACTGTTTATAGCTCCAAGACAACAAGGGAGTATTTAATCAAATACACATGAAGGTCTTAAATACAGTGGGGAAAAAACACCCTTTTCTCATGAGTTTGCATTTAAAAAAATTAAATAAGTCTAAAAGAGAACAATTTAGCTGTACAGCTTAGGCATAGCTCCCAATTTCAACTGAAGTTGCATAAAAGATATAACAGTACCTATTATTACTAGGTCATTAAAAAAAAAAAAATCACAATTCTTTGGTTAAGTATTGTCTTTTGCTTTTTGAAAAGTTCTAAGAAAAGCATGCAGCATTCAAAAAACACACTAACTTCTCAAAGAAAGTTTTGCATCAGAGCTCTGCTTTTAAACTTTTATTTTTTAAACAACTACAACAAAAAAAATCCTCCACTTAGGAAAGTTAGGTTGTCACCATCTTACATTTCAGAATACAAAACTGAAAAAATCCATATAAAAAAAAAAAAAAAAGACAGGACTTCAGCCAAGTATTCAGCTACTTATTGCTGTAGTTGTAACTCAAGTCCATTTAAACCCCGATGTTTTGGTCGTTTGTAGCGAGAATATGTTTGGAACACTAGCAGCAATAGAAAACCCCTTTAAAATCTAGATATAGTAACTGTTGAGTGAAAATTAACAGAACCCATAATCATCAGAACATAATAAAGCATCCTGTAAAAGTACAGTTGAATCAGTAGCTAGAAAAACTGGGTCGATTTAAAGTGCTATCCCAAAGCCTTATGTGGGCCTTTGTCAGTAAAGTCCTTGCCCCTCCCCTCTCCCAAATAAAGCCCATAACCACAGCACTACCCCAAACATATAAAACACAGTCTTCACTCGGCCTCAGTGCCACATCTCCCTCTCCCGCCCTCCTCCAAGAGGTGCAAAACAGAAGCTTGAGATAACTGCCAAATCCAAATTTCGGTGATATTCACAAATACACTGTGGAACAAAATCTGGACAGCAAACAGTACACCTGAGTTCAGTCATACAAACTAACTTTTGTAAATAGCGTTAGACGAATATATCCATGTCTCTAATAGGTATCTAAATGTATTTTCTTACAAAACGCATTAATAGAAATATCCAGGCAAATACATTACCATACAATAGCAAAAGCTTTAAGCCCCATTTAATAAGATGACTTTCTGATTAAAAATAGAAGGCAATTAAGTTTACTCAAAATTACAATTAAGAAAAGCTTTCACAGTGCAATATTGAAACTGTCACAAAGTTAAGAAAATACTGATATCAAAGTACAATCACAATGTTAAAGTAGACAAAACTACTATACAAGGGTGTATCTTGTAAAATTAAAAGGAATGAACACAACATAGGGGACAACTCGTGTCCCTGCTCTACATATCTCATTTCCTAGTCTTCAGAGTCATAATTGTGTCTGTCCGACATCAGCAGGAGTCTGGTTAAGACTAAGAGGTTCATTCTTCTTTGTAGGCCAGATTTCAGTGCCCAACTACTTCTTGAAAATACGTTCTTCATCACTGCACAATTTCAAAGTAGTGCAATATCGCCATGATGTGCTGCGGCATGAACACATAGCCTGTGTACAGTGCCATTCCAACAATGGAAACTAGCATGGAATCTGAGTAAGAGTTGAGGAAAAAGGCATTTGAAATATGAAGTGCGTTAGACAACACATAGTTACAGCATTGAAACTTTCCTGGTAACTATCTTGCAAGATTACACTTATAAATGAGGCAGGGTCAACTGCATTCAGCAATTACAGCCACAGAAAATCAACTGAACACTGGAAACCAGAATACCAGTAGGAGAGATTAGCTGAAGTATGGAAGGATATCTTCAAGTTATCCACTGTCTTGTCATGGACTCAAAAGGACATGCCAAAATGCAGGGAGAGCGAAGAAGAAACAGAAAACAAGCACTAACAATATCCAAGTTTTCACATGCATCCTCCTGGATGTTAAGCAAGTCTTGCAGAAGCCAGTCCCACTCAGTCAGGCAGAAAAAAGTCAACCATCACAAAAAAACAAACAAACCAAAACCACATTAATATGAGTAGCTGTACTGAATAAGAGTTCTTATTAGTGCATGAGCTACTCCTTAAGCAGACAGCATTAGATGCTGACTTCAACTTCTTGGAAAAGTATGACATAATAGACATAATTTATGATGGCATAAAAGTTGCACTGTTACCATAATAAAGTCAGGAAATCTTAAATCCACTTCTAGCTGCCAGAGTCCTTTATGGTTTAAGTCACTACATTATTTGGTTCATTTCTCCATCTACATGTCACGCTCAGATCCCTCCTCACCGGCAAGCAGCTCAATTTATGTGTTGCTTGGCAGTACTTAGGAAAAAGACACCACAGGCAGAGTGAAAAGTATGAGTAACATTGTGACATGCCCAGCTTTCTAATTATCTCGCTCATAAAGCCTCAGAACACCTGCACAGCTTTGAGTCAAGCTGTGTACTTAAACAGACACTCATTAGTACTTTACTACAGCAGATCACACTGCAGAACAAACTTCACATGATGCTATCTGCTAAACAATCTTAATATGACCGCTTTATTAGTTGAACTCCTAGCACGGGCCTTTCGTAAAACTTATATAGAAGAGTGAGACAACAGCTTATAACACATACGTACAATCAGACCTCTGTCAAGCTCTAAGATTCTTGAAGCTTCATCTCCAGAAATTACGGCATGAGATTACTGAAAGACTATGCCCTTCAAAGTTTAAGGTTTCAGGAATTCAAAAGTACTTGAAATTAATAATAACCTGTTGATTTCCTCCAACTGTCTGCAGAGATTCAGTAAACTTAGACTGAAACACTATAAAAAGCACTGGAGATTAACAAGCACGATAACACAGGACAGCAGTACTTGGTTTCCACAGGTGAAACCAGAGGAGCTGCACATGTTTTGCATCCTTCAGAAATCAAGTCACCACAGCACACGCATAACAAATGCTCCATGACTGACTTCCCTGTGGCAGAGCAGAGGTATGAGCTGCGCTTATTGGAGCATACTAGCTGCTCCGTGTATTTTTAGTCCCAGAAGATTATACAGTAAGAGATATTAAAATGAAGGTCAGCTCACTCATAAATCCACATTCCCATATCAGAGTTCACATCTGATTCTGGAACATGAGCAGCAGCCAGACAGGCAGCAGAGCCACACACCGTCAGCTCCCAAGGCTGCTCCATCTGTGCAGCACACAGCAGAACTGGCCCCACCTACAGCAAAAGCATCCCGTTCTGAGGACAAAAAACAGTTTTGCTGACCTAAGATCACAAGCAATACTTGTGCCACTCATAACGCCTAAGTTCAGTGGCAATTAATTCATTGCAACGTATTTTATAAAATTAAACACGCATGCACGCTTTCATTTACTTCAATATTTTGCACAAGTTGAAAATCTGTACGGCTAACACGGAAGAAGAAAAAATTCTCACAGCTAATCTAATTGCAAGGAAAGCAAAGATAAGAGTTTCCTCAGTGATCAAGACATGGCATAAAAAGAGGAAGGTATGTTACCAAGGAGCACAATATTTTGAAAGAACCCCAACCTAAACAATTGTGTGCAGTGAAAAGGGAAGTTGCAAGTTATCTCCACTTCTACTGACTTTACACAGGTAAAAAACATCTGATCGCACAACTGTAACTTGGGCAACCGCTTTAATATAACAAATATTAATTCCTTCAAAAAACTGACCAGTAGCTCAGCAAAAACTGCTTCTCACTACTTACACCCTCCTCTTTGCTAATGTTCTGCTTAATTTCTCTCTTTACCTCTCACCATTAGTTGCAGATGGCTTAGGGTCATTCACAGGAGACATCATCTTAAGTCTAGGTCAAAACAGTCACATTTAAGACAAAAATACTTGTGATACCATAACGACACTTGAGAGACTATACTGCGTGTAGGAAAGGGCTGGTTAAAGAAGCAAATCTATCAACACTCTTCTTACAGACGCCTTCACATAAGCATCTATCAAGTTCTTCCACTCCGAAAGAGCCAAGCAAACTCATCAGCTCGAGGATTAAATACTTATCTATTAAAAATCATGTGACAAAGCGCCATGCAGACGTCAGCCTGCGAGGTTTTGCAGCGTGCACGTTTACTTTCCACTAGACAAAAACACAAAAGAATTCAGGAAAGACACCCATGCTTAACAGAAACCTGGAGGTTTCTGTGCAAAAGACGGGAGAAAACTACCGTATCTCTACAGAGGAAACAAATAAAGGAGTAACTTCCGAGATTCAAACTCAAGCCCGAGCACAAGGTGCCGGACGCCCAGTGCCAGGCCGCGGACCACCACCGGGAGGATCGCTGCCCAACTCGGGCACCGCGTCTGTGAAGGTGAGGAGCTCGGGCCCCTGCCCGCGGGGAGGGGACAGGCCTCGGTG